AGATCTAGGGCATCCTCGCAGTCACAGAAAAGGTCCTCGGATTCGGTCGCTAATGCTCCTAAAGTGGACCAACAAAAAAAGAAAAGGACAATGAGTGGCAGCGTTATAAACTTGATGAACCCAAAAAAGCCAGAAGAAGCCTCCAAGTAAGATAAAGTTAGATTCTAGAATCTATTTGCCTCATTGCCTAAGTGGAGGGTGCAGTCCAAATTCAATAGGCAAACAGAGTAAGCAGAATCAATTAAGAGTCGAAGAAAAACACCATGAAGATCAAAGGAGGATAAACAAGATTGTCGAAGACAACCCTGAATTAACCAGGGATCAAGCCGCGAACATCTATTATGATTCACTAGCATATGAGATGGCAAGACCGGCAATGCAGTTTCAAAGAGGCAATTTCTTGGTGGAAGAGGAGAAGTATAAAAATTCGACAACATATATGCATGATTATTACATGGCCCAAGCACTTGAGACGGAGTAGACGAGTTTCGAATATATTATCCGTCCGCCGCATGTTTTCCATTATCCTAATGAAGAGAAGAACTTTGACTGTTGGGAGTGCTTGTTTCAGCTATTCCAGAGACACGATCTCGATACACAAATATTAACGCTGTGGACTATGTAAGTACCCTACTCGCACGATATTATAATTAACTACTCTCTCGATACACAAATAGTTAACGACTGCACATTCCCCATGAATTATGCAGGTGTGTAGCAAAACATTGCTTCAAAACAAAGAACGCTCATATGTCTTTCCTGGACCCTGAGCTAGTCAACGAGAGAACATGTGGAGGCATGTATGGAAATAAAGTGGAAGGTCTGACGAAGACACTGACTGCCATTTTCGAAAATTTCAAGATGAATAATAAAACTGAAATACTTATAGCCTACAACTGCGAATATGTGTTCTCTGCTCTTATTTTTATGCTTGTTTTTTGTAGTTATGATTATTCGTTAACTTTGGTTTTGTGATTGCAGCAACCATTTTGTCTTTATTGTTATCGATGTTAAAAGAAATCATATCAAGGTGTGGGACTCAAAGAAAAAGGATCTTTCTTTGCTCAATCCCCTAGTCGAAGTGCTTAATGCGTAAGCAAACCTAATAACATATTATATTCTAATCGCACATAGCACATTCTATTGTTGCCCCTTTTCTCACAATTTATAATGTGGCACAGTGTCCAGGAAAGAATGGTCGGTGGGACGAAGGTCCCATTCCAGGTTGCACCAATGCAATTGGAGACCCTAAACCAGCCAGCAGGGAACCATGATTGCGGGTTCTATGTAATGTGGGCAATGCTTCGCTACCTCGGCATAAAATCAGAGGCGGCAGATGATTTGGTATGTATAATTCTCATTTCATTTATATCAGTTAATTCAACAAAACGATCTACTTATTTCTCTAACATTTCTGCCTTTCAAAATCGGTTTTTTTACTGACAGCGCAAGAAATTTAAACACCAAAGGTTGTTATCAACGGAGGTCATAGCACTGTCATCGGAGCTAGCAGCCTTCATCACATCGGAGTGCTTGGAAAAAAAGAAACATTCTCTATTGCACAGTCCGTGAAGTACAAGACACAGTACGGGCCAGAGCGGCTCGCTAGACTATTGTAATTTCTTTTTTATTTCAAGGGATCAAGAGCTTCATAAGTACATTTGAACTGTAACCGTAACATTTGTAATGTTTAGTGTTGATGAACCTGTCGTCTACGTAGCGAATATAAAGCGAAATCCAATTCCACAAAAAAATAAAATAAAATAAATTATAAAACAATAAAACGCTAAAAAGAGATCACTACCGGTTAGCACTAAACCGATAGTGATGGTAAAGAGGGCACTGCCAGCTTGAGACACGAGTCTGCAGTGTTGCTCAAGACATCACTGTCGGCTTGACATACAAACTGGCAGTGTTATTGAAGCCATCACTGTTGGCTTGAGCTACCATCCGGTAGTGTTAGCTTGAGCAACACTATCGGCTCGAGCCACAAGCCGGCAGTGTTCTCTTGAGCATCACTGTCGGCTCTGGCCACGAGCCAGCAGTTTTGGCTCAACTGGACACTGTCGGGTGGTACTAGGAACCGACACTCTTTCCTAGACATCACTGGCGGTTTTGAGTTATCGGCGGTGATGTGAACCCCACATCACTACCGGTATGCCACTGTTGGTTCAAATTTCGGCATTGAAGGGAGATTTTAAACCAATAGTGATGTCCTGGTCTGAGGTAGCGATGGTGAAGCACAACATAAGCGTGCAATCTAGTCTAGGTGTCTAGCTATGACGAGGGCACATGGTCAAGTGTTTGACCTGTTCGGCTCTAGCCCTTTTGCTTGTTTATTTGTAGCACATTGTTAGATAGCATAGCTATAAGACTGCCAAACGAACGGCTCGGCCTGGCCTAGTTCCAACCCATAGGCTCAGCAAGCCACCCAGGCAATGCACCAGGCTGGGTTAGCCCAACATGAGTAGCAACAAAGCACAAAAGCAAGAAGCACAAATTACAAATCAGGAAGTCATTCTCATTATATTACAAATTCATCATTCATCCATACATTCATAGTTCATACATAAATCGAATTGAATCTAATTTTCGCATTGTCGCCTCCGTGCACTTGCCGAGGCTGCGCCGCCTATGCCTTCATGCGCTAGCCAAGGCCGATCCATGCGCTATCTAGGGCTCGGCCACTGAGGAAATAGGAGGGAAGTAGAAGCCCTTGGTTGGTGCGCAGAGGAGAAGGTGAAGAAGGAGCTAAGAGGAGAAGACAGTGATGGTAGAGGAAGGGTGAGTTAGGGTTTGGTTTTTTTTAGGACCGAAGGTTATATATATGGGATGAGGTAACAGGCCGCTTTTAGGACACCATTTAATCAGGCGCGCCATGGTACCTAGCAGGCCCAAGCATGTCACACGCCATGGCCCGACTGGCATGAGCATGAGTAGGAGCAAATTAGGCCATGCTGTGCTTGGCCCCACTAGTAGAGAAATGGGTTGTAGTCCCGGTCGGGAACTGGCTTTAGTCCCGATTTTCCAACCGGGACTACGAATCCTGGCCTTTAGTCCCGGGCACATAACCGGGACTAAAGGTCCATCCTTAGGAGAAAAATAAACGAAATTGTAGGGAGACCTCTCTTGCGATGTGTGAGATTCGAACCCAGGACCTCTTTCCTCGCGCATAAACTCCTTACCAATTCAGCTGTACACCACATGTGACAGGGTCCTGGGCACTCTCCTTTTGAATTGACCTGTGGGGTACCTTTAGTCCCGGGTGGGAGACCTTTAATCCGGGTTGGTGACACCAACCAGGACTAAAAGGTCACCATTTAGTCCCGGTTGGTAACACCAACCGGGACTAAAGGTTGAAAGACCTTTAGTGCAGGTTGGTAACACCAACTGGGACTAAAGGTGGCCTGCTGCGAAAGCGTGCCAGGACAGGGGTCTTTAGTCCCTGTTGATAGCTCCAACCGGGACTAATTCTTTCTTTACTTCCGGACGCAAAAAATACCGAGACTAAAGCCCAAAATTAAAACGGATGAAAGGTCATGTCTCTACTAGTGCCCGGTACCAAATCTCGTGCTAACCAAATGGTCTCTTGCCTTTTTGTACATCATCTATACCCATGTTTGGCACCCGCTTATTCCTGTGGCATGTGGTATGTGGACAACAACTAGCAAAGGCAAAGCTTACTGTTCGGTTTAGGTGTTAACCGCTATAATCATTTACAATTATTTCGAAATATGTGAGAATGCTATCAAATATTTGATGTAAAAAATATGAATGAAATCACATGGTACTTAGAAAAATATGGGCAAATCCACATGGGAATACGGGTCTTCTTATAACTGAATTAACACTGTTAAATGTTATAGACGGAATAGGGGCAAACTTAGACTTCATTTCAAAGAAGCAAGAGCAAATTCACTCCATTGTAGGGGTATGAACATAAAACCCCCAATGATTTTATGATGCTTCAAAGCTCAAACATTGTAGAAGTATTCGTCCCATCCTATAAGAGATACTTTGTTTTGACCTACGTTTGGTCCAAGTTTTGGAACTTTGACGATCACTACTATTAAAATTTTATTACAAAAACATAATGTGCATATTTGTCTTGAGAACATTTTTATTGTCTCGTATTTAGGTACTATGGCTATATGCTAATACGAAACAACGGTAATGGCTAAAGTTAAAACCTGAGTATACTGAAAAAAAAAACCCAAGTGCATCAAGTAGTTATGGCACCGTACTTTTTTCTTTGATAAACAATTGCTACAATCTAAAATAACCTTGTGACGATCTCATTCACATCGAAATGAAAATCTCAATAGTCAACACCTAGTTGGTCTTAGTTGTGCGATGCTGAACCATAACATATAGAACAACATGGCACAAATAATATATTTTTCTCGTCGTTCAGAAAGAAAAAAAAACTTTCTGCACAGCCAGCAATCGCGCGACATTTTATATTAGCCGGCAGCCGGTGGCACGCACCTTTGCACACACACAAAAAAAAAAGACACAACGTGCCAAACACGAGACAGCGTGATTCACTCCACATCATCCTGTATCCAACTCCTATACTACCTCGCCTAGTTCGCTTTTGCCTTTTGCCTGCTTGCCCAAGTCAACTTGCCAGCCTACCTGACTCCATCACTGACAGAACGCCCCACAGGTATGATGGACCACATGTCACTATGCTACACGGCTGTACTCGGTCGAACCAAAGACGAGCGATAAATATAAAATTTCTTCCGAGGAGAATACCCAGATCGCCGGTGGCTACTTGCTTGCTTGCTGACCAATGGCGGCCATTCCGAGCGGAGCGCCAGCCCAAGCCGGAGCTGAGCATCCGGCCTGAACAGGATCAGAGGCGAGAGCGTGGAGATCTCAGAAGCATGGGGCCGTCGGCGTGGCGGGAGGGGCGGCGGACGCTGGTGCTGGTGAACCTGGCGTCCATCATGGAGCGCGCTGACGAGGCGCTGCTCCCCGCGGTGTACCGGGAGGTGGGCGCCGCGCTGCACGCCACGCCCACGGGGCTCGGCGCTCTCACGCTGTACCGCTCCATCGTGCAGGCCGCCTGCTACCCGGTGGCGGCCTACGCCGCGTCCCGCCACAACCGCGCCCACGTCATCGCGCTGGGGGCCTTCCTCTGGGCCGCCGCCACCTTCCTCGTCGCCATCTCCGACACCTTCGTCCAGGTCAGCCGCCCGTCCGACCGCCATTGGATATGCCTTTGCTGCTTGCTTGTTCCATTCGTTACAAGAATCCATAGCGAGTGATGTGCTGCAGCGGTTAGAATAGAAAGGTTAGAATAGAAAGATCACATTGCATCAGGTATCTGTCTTTCGGTTTGGCTCCCAAACCCAAGCTCCAACATTTTTCTGCTGTTAGTTCATCAGCCTCAACCAATTAGTAGGTAAAATTTTGCTTAAGGAGGCAGGTATTTTCAAGAAATCGTGCCTTTATCGGGGCTGCAGAAGTATGCTTGAGGCCGTGAGTCAGGCCGGGAAAATGACAAACCGCCGTTTGGCCAATCTTCCGTTTTCAAAGTAGAATTCCTTGGTGAAGTTGGTGGAATTTCACTTGACACTTGACTAAGTAACAACCTAGAAGCAGTCGCTTATCATCTCTTAAATTGTTCCACTCGACGTATAACGAGGGGGCAACGAAGTATTTGCTGGCCCAGCCAGGATTACCGGCTCAGGTAAGTCGACTACTCATCAGTCTTATCGATCACGATAGATGTTGTCCGACCACACACTATGGCTAGAGATAGAAGAAGGAAGGGAGAACAGAGCACACACACAGCAGAGACACCATCGTTGACCATAACTCTGTATAGGAGATGACAAAACTGAACTCTATCTATCTAAACCTAGTATAGCTGCCATGCTGCTACAGTGACTAGATAACACAGCAGAGCTGACTCTGGCGCCTGCTCCTGCTGTGGCTACAGTGCGACAGGTGAGCCGTTCGGCGCCTGCCCCTGCAGCGGCTACAGTACCATAGCAGGGTACCTTTTCGGCGCCGTCTTCCCCTGCCGTGTGTTCACACAAGAAAACAGTAGATTATCTAACAATTCTTTTCCCAATCCTACTGCTAACCCTTGAACCCTCTCCATGCCGATCATCTCCTTCAGCTCCGTGAACCGAAGACGTCCGAGCGGCTTGGTGAGGACGTATACGAGTTGCCGACCAGTTTCGACGAACTCGATCACGATCTGCCCTCCATTGACACAGTCGCTGAGAAAGTGGACCTTCACGTCGATGTGCTTGCTCCGGTCATAGAGAACCGGATTCTTCGCGAGGACGATGGCGGGCTGGTTGTCCACCATTAGTGCTAGTGGATGAGCTTCCACACCGGTCAGCTCGCCCAGCAGCCGGCGTAGCCACACAACATGGCACGCCGCTGTGGCTGCCGCTACGTACTCTGTCTCGCACGTAGACAGCGCCACCACCTTCTATTTCAGTGACAGCCATAAAATTGGGGCCGACACGAGGAAGACGAGCATGCCAGAGGTGCTCCGCCGTCCGTCGATGTCCTCCGCCATGCCTGCATCGCTGAACACAGTGAGCTGCAACCTACTTCCGCCGGTCTTGGGAAAGACGATCCCCTGATCCACCGTCCCGTTGATGTAGCGCAGTAGCCACTTCACTGCAGCCCAGCGATCCTCTCTGGGATCCTCCATGAAGCGACTGACGTAGCCCATGGCGAACGCAATGTCCGATCAAGTGTGGACTAGGTAGCGCAGATCGCCGATGATGCTCCGGTAGAGTGTTGCATCTACCTTCGCCGCGGTACTGGCATTTGTCTGTTTCAGTCGCTCCTCCATCGGAGTCACGCATGGCTTGCACTAAGCCATGCCGCTCCGCTCCAACAGCTTCAAAGCGTACGCGCTCTGACCGAGCGTGAGTGTCTCCCTCCCTGTCTCACCTCGATGCCGAGGTAGTACGAGAGTGCCCTAAGATCACTCATTCGAAAATGAGCCGCCATCTCACGCTTGAAGCTGTCGATGTCCTCCGCACGCGCACCGGTGACGATCAAAGTCGTCCACATACATGTCGACGACAAGCTCCTCCTTCCCCCGTCGCCGCGTGTAGAGCGCGTGCTCGGTTGAGCACTGTGTGAACCCAAGCTCGCCTAGCGTGACGTCAAGCTTGGCGTTCCACGCTCGTGGGGCTTTGTCGCAGCCCATAGAGCGCCTTACGCAGTCGGAGCACCCTGTGCTCCGCTCCCTTGATGGTGAAACCCGGAGGTTATCTGACGAAGACCGTCTCTGCCAGCTCGTCATTGAGGAAGGCCAATTTAACGTCCAAGTGATGGACGCGCCAGTCCTTTGCTGCTGCCAAAGCCAGTAGCAAACGGACAGACTCCATGCATGCTACCGGCGCAAAGACTTCCATGAAGTCGATGCCCTCGCGCTGGACAAAGCCTCGGGCGACGAGGCGCGTCTTGTGCTTGACAATGGTGCCGTGCTCGTTCCGCTTGACCTTGTACACCCACTTCAGGCTGATCGGACGGCATCCTAGAGGTGGATCGATGAGTTACCAAGTCTCGTTTTCCTCGATCGCCTTCATCTCCTCCAGCATCGCCCGTTGCCAATTTCCATCGCGCTCGACCAGCGCGAACATGGGTGGTTCCTTAGCACTAACGAGAAGCAGCTCTGGGTTATTGAGCAGCCTACCCGCCAAGCCTAAGGGCCCTGTGCCACCGACGATGTCGTCTAGCCTACGGAACCGCACCTCCTCATCTTCGTGGAAGATATCCACGAACTCAGTGATCTCACTTAGAAGTGAGGCGAACTCGATCGGTGTCGATGGAGTTCCCTGTTCTGTCGGAGTGCTCGGCATAGCACCTGGGGTGCTCAGCACCCCGGATGCAGTGCTCGGCACTACTTCTGGACCGCTCGTCATCACTCCTAGAGTGGTCAGCACCACTGCAAGAGTGCTCAGCCCTAGTCTTGTAGTAGTCGGCCCCACTGCAAGACCCCTTAGCTCCGCTACGGGAGTGCTCGGCTCTGTTGCTGGAGTGCTCGGCACCCCTCCTGGAGTGTTCGGCACCTCTTCCTCTGTGTCTCCACCACCATGGATGACCAAGTGCTCGACGATGAAGGTGCTGGTGAAGCCGCCAGCTTCCCCCGTGCTCGGACTGTTCCGGTCCCAAGCCGCCTTCTCATCGAACACGACGTCGCATGAGACAAGCACCTTGTCTTCGCATGGGTCGAAGAGCCGGTACGCCTTGGTACCCTCCGCGTAGCCTAGGAACACCATCGGTGTGGTCCTGTCCTCCAACTTGGTGAGGATCGGCTTCGTCTTCCTAACGTGGCCGATGCAGCCGAATGTCCGAATGAAGGACACGCTCGGCATCCGCCCATACCAAGCTTCGAACGGCGTCTTGCCCTTCAGGGCCTTGGTAGGCGCACGATTGAGCATGAACACCACCGTGGTCACCGCCTCACCCCAGAACCTTGCCGGCATGCCTTTGGCCTTCATCATGGATCGAGCCATGCCGACCACCGTCTGGTTCCGCCGCTCCACCACGCCATTCTGCTGTGGCGAGTATGGCGCGGTGTGGTATCGCACCACACCCTGATCCACGTAGTATGCAGCGAACTCCACCGAAGTGAATTCACCGCACCGGTCAGTCCTCAGCACGCGGAGCTTCTTGCCGCTCTCGGCCTTCGCGCACATCTTGAACTTCTTGATCGTCACCGCCGCTTCGTCCTTGCTCGTCAGGAGTTTCAGCCAGATGTAGTGACTGCAATCATCCACGAGCAGGAGAGAGTACCGCCGACCATCGTTTGTGGCTAGCGAAATCGGCCCACAGAGATCGCCGTGGACGAGCTCGAGAGCGTCCAACGCGCGATACTTGGCCGCCTTTGGGAACGTCAGCCTCCTCTGCTTCCTGGCCAGGCAGCTGTCACACAGCTCGCCTCTGTGCTCGATGTGGGGTAGCCCTCGGACCATTTTCTCTAGCCGACCAAGCGCGTCGAAGCTGAGATGTCCGAACTAGGCATGCCACAGCCACGGCTCCTCGGTGTGCCTTGCCGCCAGGCACACCGGCTGCTCCACCTTCAAGTCGAGCAGGTACAACCGGTTTTGGGACCTCTTTACCTTGGCAAGAAGTCACTTCTCCCGATCCCTGATCCTAAGGACTCCATCCTTGATCAGTACCTCGCTCCCGCACTCATCCAGTTGGTCAATGCTGATGATGCTTGAACGCAGCTGCGGAATGTAATATACATCCATTAGCGCACGATGCTCTTCGTTCTGACACCTGAAGATGATGGTGCCGCGCCCTCGGATTTCCACCCTTGAGCCGTCACCAAACTTCATAGTACCGGTAATATCGTCGTCGAGCTTGGAGAAGGCTACCTTGGAGCCCATCATGTGGTTGTGGGCACCAGAGTCTAGGTACCACCGCTGCTCCTGGTCGCCGCCCACACGTCCGAGGTGGACTTGGGCACGCGGTTCATCGAGGTTGATATCCTTTAGGACCTTCCCAGGACCTTTCACCGCCGTCACCTCTCCCTCTCCTCGGCCTCGACGTCGTGCAGTGCACAGAACATTGCCATCAGGATAGTGGCCTCATCCTCATCATCAGCTTGCGCCAGATGAGCCTCAGTCTTCTTCTCCTGCTTGCGATTTGGGCACTCCCGTGCCCAATGGCCCGCCTTCCCGCAGCGTCGGCAGGCGTTGGGGTCGACCTGCTTCTTCCTCTTCGAAGAAGCCTTGCCGCGGCGCTTGCCATCGCCACCGCGGCTAGAGGAGGCTACCCCGGAGTTCTTCCGAGCAGCCCACTCCTCCTCTGTCAGCAGCAACTTGTCGTTGTCCTTCGTTGCTGTCGTCTGCTCTAGGCGCTCGTCCACTGCCCGCAGACGGCCTGTCACATCCTCAATGGTGAGAGTGGACAAGTCCAGCATCGTCTCTATGGAGAGAGCGATCTGGATGTACTTTACCGGCATGGAGTGGAGATACTTGAGACCGCCTCCTCTTCGTCGATGGTGATGTCGTGGCTCTTCAGCTTGCTGATGAACGTCTACAGGCGGAGGGAGAAATCCTCCACCGATTCACCATTTTTGAACTTGAGGCTGGCGTACTCCTGCCTCAGAAGCTGGGCCATCGCCTTCTTTGCGTGGTCGGAACCGACGCGTATCGCCGCAATGGCCTCCCACGCCTCCTTAGCAGAGCTTTTCGCCCCCAACGGCTCCATGTACTCCGCCGGTACAGCAGCAAGGAAAGCTTCCAACGCTGACATGTTGTCTTCTTTATTTTCGGTGCCCTTGTCAACAGCATTCCAGAGCCGTCGGACTCTGAGCTTGACCTTCATGGTCACCGACCACTCGCCATAGTTGGTGCGAGTCAGCGTCAGCCAACTGGTGACGTTGACCTCTCGTACCGTGCGAACAAAGACCTCATGTCGTGGCTGGGCAGCCACAGCAGTGCCACTGCTGTCGCCCAACTTCAAACCGTTCGTCATCGCCAGCGGTTAGTCTGACGACGACGCTTGTACGGCTCCGATACCACTAGTTGCCCCACACAGGATCACCGGCTCAGGTGATTCGACCACTCACCAGTCTTGCCGACCACGGCTCAGGTGAGTCGACCACTCACCAGTCTTATCGATCACGACAGACGTTGTCCGACCACACACTATGGCTAGAGGTAGAAGAAGGGAGGGAGAACAGAGCATACACACACAGTAGAGACACCAGCGTTGACCAGAGCTCTGTATAGGAGATGACAAAACTGAACTATTTCCATCTATTCTTAGTACAGCTGTCATGCTGCTACAGTGACTAGATAACACAATAGAGCTGACTCTGGCGCCTGCTCCTGCTGTGGCTATAGTGCGGCAGGTGAACTGTTCGGCGCCTGCTCCTGCAGCGGCTACGGTACTACAGCAGGGTACATTTTCGACGTCGACTTCCCCTGCCATGTGTTCACACAGGGAAGCAGTAGATTATATAACAGTGTTTCCTCCTCACAACCGATAGTGACACTGAGTCACTGATGACGTTTTAGTTTTTCAGTATCCTTTCGACTAAATAGATGGCAGTCAAGGAATTTCTTAATACACATTCTTTGGGATCATACAAATGCATTATTTCCATGTTTCTGATTATATTAGTATACTGACACCACATAATTTTACTCCATGGAGACAGTACCTTCTTTCCAAAATCAAGGCATGACATTTTTAGATCAAACTTTTTTTTTCGAATACCTAAAAGCTTTGCGCATCTTTTGTATTAAGGAGGAGAAGTTTTTACACGTCGCGCCGTCTTGCAGCGCACCAAGGAGGACAGGAATGGGTACATTTAAGCGTAGCCTCCCTAGTAAGACGTTCCTTCACGCACTAAACAACCTAGTTTGGATGCGGACAGCGATTGGCGCCGCGTCTCCTCGGCCGCACAGGCCACTCCGTGTCCGGGAAGAGCTCCCTCATTGCCTCGGCGTGCGATGGATTCAGCTGATCGACAAAGATGCTGTCATACTCCTCCTGCGCAACGATGGCCTGGTCCGCTCTTGCAGCATTCCGAGGCGCTTTAGACCAAACTAAATCCTTCTGTGCTCTTTTTCTTCAAATTAACCTGCACAATTGGTTAAATAAATTTGGAAAATTTTGTTCCAAGGGGACTCAGTGCAGTTATGAAGTGCTTCTCTCTATCCATTATTTGTCTCATACTCTCATTCCATGACAGTAATCTTAGCTGAACATATGGATACTGCCACAAAGGGTTACTCAAACTTTAATTCTTCTGCTCCTCCAGGTGGCAATTTCAAGGGGCTTGAATGGCATTGGTCTAGCTCTCGTCATACCAGCAGTCCAGTCGCTGGTGGCTGACTCTACCGACGACGACAACCGTGGCACAGCTTTCGGTTGGCTTCAACTGACCAGCAGCATAGGCTCCATATTTGGGGGATTCTTTGCCTTGATGCTGGCTCAGACTACGATCTTGGGGATTGAAGGATGGCGCATTGCCTTCCATCTCGTCGCAATCGTCAGTGTCATTGTAGGCATCCTCGTGTGGTTCTTCGCCGTGGATCCCCATTTTCCCACAAACAATGCTGCCTCGCATGCTGCACCAGTCAGCCAAAAGTCTGCACTTGATGAAGCAAGGGAGCTGATCATTGAGGCCAAGTCCATAATCCAGATCCCAACGTTCCAAGTCTTCGTCGCGCAGGGTGTCAGCGGCTCATTCCCATGGTCAGCACTGTCATTCTTGTCCATGTGGCTTCAGCTCATTGGGTTCAGCCACGAGGACACCGCCATTTTCACGACGACCTTTGCTGTCGCCACCTCCATTGGTGGCCTTCTTGGTGGCATGATGGGGGATTTCTTTGCGCAGCGATATCCGAACGCCGGGAGGATTATCCTGTCACAGATAAGCGCTGGCTCTGCTGTCCCTTTGGCTGCTGTTCTTCTGCTGGGCTTGCCTGATAATCCATCCAGATCCAGTGGTGTAGCCCACGGACTTGTTCTGTTCATCATGGGACTCATCATCTCTTGGAATGGAGCTGCTACAAACGGGTACGCCACACATTTCACCTTTTCAATTTTATAAAACGCTGGTTTAAAACTTTGGTCTGTGTTACTGAAATGTTTTCGTTGTCCGATGTTGAAAACTCTGTTGCGCAGCCCAATTTTGCAGAGATCGTGCCCGAGAGGCAAAGGACAAGCATCTATGCTCTGGACAGGACCTTCGAGTCGATTCTAGCCTCGTTTGCGCCTCCTGTCGTTGGCTTGTTATCGCAGCACCTCTATGGTTTCAAACCGGACGACAAAGGGAGCAGCCCTGAACAGGACCGGGAGAACGCTGCGTCGCTGGCCAAGGCGCTGTGCACGGCCATTTCCATCCCAATGGTTATCTGCAGCTCCATATACACGTTCATGTACCGCACTTACCCTCGAGACAGGGAGCGTGCGCGCATGCAGTCCATGATTCAGTCAGAGCTAGATCAGATTGAGCTGGGCGGTTCGAGTTTCGGATGCGGCGACGACAGGTTTGAGCTCTTTGAATCGGTGCACGATGGTGATAAACCTGATGAGGTTGATGGCAGTTGTGGTGCTGAAGAATCTGCTGAGGCCGATGCTGGCACTGAAAAACTATTAGGAAACCATGAGTTGTGACGAGCAAAAGAATCTTAGCTACAGTGACCGTTCATGTTGAAGAGGATATTCTACCGATTTTAGGAACTTGTAACACAACAATCAATATGATTCACTAAAGTGACCATTCTTTGTTCTTCCATATCTTCGTTATGCTGCTACTGCTACTGCTATGCTAGTATACAACATATCAACGGTACCAAAATGCCCATGAAGGCACTTCAATGTTCACAGAACGGAACTTCCGGGGTGTTCGGCTGTACTACTTCCCTCTTGTTTCAGCTCAGCTTATTCTCTCTCACATAATACTATTCAACCATCCAAAATAATTCAAAATTCACTATTCCACCCACCAGCCGAACGAGCTGTTTATTTTTTAGTAATATATACATAGCAGCGGTACCAAATGCCCATCTAATTTAAACAGCTTTTTGCTGAAAAGTCAAGTTTAAAGTTCAACTCGCTTACTCCCTATAACAACTTCACTCAAATGCCAAATATTGAGGACGTGTTTTGCAAGACTCTGGCTCATGGATTCTCGTCTGGAGCGGCGGGAGCCTAACCAAAGTCCAAACACCAGATCCCTGGAGGCTGGCAGCATCGAGGAATCGAGGATTATTTAGTAGTTAATCGTACATGTGCTGCAAAGTGTCTTTACTGCCCTTGAAAGGTTCCTCGCTCTCAATCTGCTCGCCCATCGCCGCCGTTGACTACAAAGCACGGTGGTGGAAGTGGTGGCAGCACCGCAGCAGCACGCAATGGCGGAGCAGCAGGGCTGGAGGCAGCGGCGCTCGCGGAGGACGACGCTGCTTCTGGCGTTCGCGGCGCTGGCCATGGAGCGCGCCGACGCGGCGCTGCTCCCGGCGGTGTACCGGGAGATCGGCACCGCGCTGCAGGCATCGCCCACGGCGCTCGGCTCCATCGCGCTGTCACGCTCCGTCGTGCAGACCGCCTGTTATCCGCTCGCGGCGTACCTGGCGGCGCGCCACGACCGCCTCACCGTCATCGCGCTCGGCGCCTTCGTCTGGGCGGCGGCCACCTTCCTCATTGGCTTCTCCACCACTTTCCCACAGGTACACCGTGCACGTGCGCCGTGGCTGCCGGCTTGCCGCCAGCTTCCTCATCGCTTCCATCTTGCCCGCTGCCAAACTGAGATGTCTTGGGAGGAGTGCAGATGGCGGTGACGGCGGCATTGAACGGCGTCGGGCTGGCGCTGCAGATCCCGGCGATCTTCGCCTTCGTTGCTGATTCCGTCGATGGCGCCAGTAGGGGCATGGCATTCGGATGGCTCGCGGTGGCTGGAAAGGCCGGCACCGTGGCTGGCACCTCCCTCGGCCTGCTCATGGCGCCGACCACGTTCTTGGGGCTACCGGGCTGGCGGCTCGCCTTCCTCTTGCTTGGCGTCTTGGGGGCCGCGGTCGGCGTGTCCATCCGCGCGTTCGCCGCGAGCGACGGCGCAAGAGGACGCGTGGTGACCGCGGCCAGCGTCAAGCCGGTGAGGCAGGAGCTGCAGGAGTTCGCCAGGGAGGCCAAGGCCGTGATGCGGATCCCGTCGTTCCAGGTCATCATCGCGCAGGGCCTGACCGGGTCGTTCCCCTGGTCAGCGCTGTTGTTCACGGCGATGTGGCTGGAGCTCGTCGGGTTTTCCCACGGCGAGACGGCAGCGCTCATGACGCTGTTCAAGGTTGCCACGTCGCTGGGATCTCTCTTCGGCGGCAGGATGGGGGACGCCCTCGCCCGGCGGTTCAAGAACTCGGGCCGCATCGTCCTCTCGCAGATCAGCTCCGGTTCCGCGATCCCCCTCTCCGGCGTCCTCCTCCTCGCGCTCCCCAACGACCCGTCCTCCACGGTCAAGCATGGCGCCGCGCTGTTCATCTTGGGGATCATGGCCTCCTGGAACAGCACAGCTACGAACAGCCCGATACTCGCGGAGATCGTGCCGCCGAGGGCAATGACGACCGTGTTCGCGCTGGACCGGACGTTCGAGGCAGTGCTGGCCTCGTTCGCGCCCCCGGTGGTCGGCCTCCTCGCCGAGCGCCTGTACGGTTACAAGCTAGCCCGCTCCGCAACTGGCGGCGGCGTAGACGAGCGCACGACCGTCGACGTCGAGATGGAGCGGCACAACGCGACGTCACTCGCCAGGGCGATATACACCTCCATTGCCATCCCCATGGCAATGTGTTGCGCCATCTACTCGTTCCTGTACTGCACCTACCCCAGGGACAGGGAGATGGCGCGGGCTGAGGCGGCGCGAGATATAGGGGATTACGGGGGTGCAGGATCATCTGGATCCGAGGACGAAGGCGATGGCGAGAGGAAGCTGCTGCCGCAGTGAGTCGCTGTGGACTGTGGTCACTGGTCAGGTGCGAGTGATGTGTAAGGAGACCAGCGTCGCCGGTTGCGGAAAGGAATCATCGATGGAGCCCGTGAAGAAACCATGGCCACCCGTCAGGACGCGCGTCTGTGCGCATGTTACACACGAACACTTGCTTAGAAGACTACAACTCTATTTGTTCGTAGCACATGTACTCAAACCCTGAAGTGGCTGGTGTTGTGCTGCTGGGGAGGACCACCGAGTACCCGTAGTCAATAATGCCCTGAGGTACAGGTTTTGAATGGACCTCCCTCATCTACCAACATCATGCCTCTAGTGTTATCTATGATCTTGCATGTTCGTTTCAACAGGTTCAATCAACGTTTCCACATCGCTGCGAGGGCTAATTTGTACCAATTGTTATCAAGACCATGGTTCGATTGGATCTAGTGTGTAAGATCACATATAGAGGTTCGAGGATTACCCATCCACGAGCTGTTATGTACCTAAAAGCATCTAGGCCTTTACTTGAGTTTTGGTAATAAATGATAGCACTTTTGGTTAGACATTCACATTCTGGATGTAAAAGGAAGGATTAGTCACTTGGAAAGGATGGGTGACAGGACCGATCCGCGGTCGGACTGGGTCCGTAGCACACTGTCATTCAGGATCAATTGCATACGGCCATTTATATTTTGCACGAGTTCACATTACATTCCACTACAACACGTCTCTTAATAGAAAACGTTTTGTTAAAAGCATTATTAAATTGCCTTAGTTTCCTTTTACTTAAAGGCATTCTTACGAAAAGGCCTTTAAAACCACATTTGTAGAGGCTAATATAAAAAGGAAGCGGCTAAATTACGGCCGGCCTTAATTTGGCTTATCGCACGGCCTTTTCTTTTTTTTTGGTAAAAGTGCAATCATTCTATTTCCTTTTTAGCAAGGATACTAATTAACGTTTGTTTTTTGGCGTTCACCAAAAAAAGGCAATTAAGGCCCAGACATATGCTTTTAGGTACTACATATATACGTTCACAAAAAGGTAATGTTTTCAGAAAAAAGAACACATCTCAGAAAAGAATACATTTGCATCTGCATTTTTTCGAAAAGCACAACACTATATATCTAGTCCCACACATTTGCACATCTTCTCTGTACTGGCCCGCATCTTGCTTCTCTGTACATGGCCTGCATTCCTGCATGTTAAAAAAAAGATAACATGTGTCAAAAATTTCTTCTTGGTAGGAGATAAAAAAATGATGCTTATGTTCCTGAAGCTTCTATTGGTGATGAGCAGGTTGCTGCTAGTACTGTTGTAGTGGATTCAATTTTCCTAGGCAATTTAAGTGTCATTCATTAGGCAACAATGTCTTTCTAATTAGACAATTTTGGTATTCTGAAAAGGCAAGTATAGTGTCTGTGTTCATTTGCAACCCACAGCCCCACCCTCAACCCCCGGTTTATTTGCAAAAATACATATCAAACAGAGGTAGGGTGATGATATCAATAACTAGTTTTTTAACAAAAGGCAGACTCATTCAATGGTTGAACAGAAAGGATCATCATAACAGTAGGAGAAAAAAAAGGAAAAAAGAATGATCTGTGAACAACAATATGTCACCTGCATTAGCCAGCACCCCCACTCCCAATCTGCACTTCCCAACTCAAGAAAATGGAATCTCAGGCTTCCCCTAGTCACCCGCGCATGGTTAAATCACTTAGAGCATAGAGTAACGCTTGACGGTAAAAAGAGTAGAGATTATAGGCACATTTTTTGTGTTGGACACAAATAAAATTGCCACCAAATTACCAATAACTTGCCTGACTAATGATATTAAATTGCTTAACTAAATTTACATGCACATTTTTCGGTGGTACTGTATTGCTCGTCTACACTTTTTCATCTAGCCTGCTGCACACTCCACCTTGGCTGCAGGTCACCTTTGCTGCATTCTCTATCTACATTCTACAGTAACAGCATGACAACAGTATGGCAATAAGTAGTGGCCGATCTCAGCCCGATCTGCCCACTGTGTAGCTAGTAGTGGCTATAGTAGTAGCAGGTGCACTAAATGTGGTTGTAGCTTATTTAGCAATGGAAAGCAAGATAATTTGTTGCACCAAAGACTCCAAAGAGGTGTGCTCGTCTTTGCTGCATTCTCAGGCTCAAGTTCATCTTCTACCTCTAATTGTGAGCTGTGAGAGGGTGATTGTAAAGTGATAAATAATTAGGCTAAGGCACAAGTACTTACACCGTGCCAAAGAATGTCTAATTGCTAATTATTCAGCTCTAAATGCTGATTATTGACACCTCCATAAAACCTAACACCAGCTGCATTTTCTTAGGCAATTTAAGTTTCATTCGTTAGGCAACAATGTCTTCCCAAATAGACAATTTTGTATTCTAAAAAAGCAAGTATAGCGTGCTTTTACCACATCTAGTAGAGTCGTAGATAAGAAAATGACCAATCACTGGTAGTAACCTTTCACATACACCATATCTAGTAGACTCGTAGATAAGAAAATGACTTGCTACTACTAAATCACAGATGCAACAGAATGGTCCATGCCAACATACCAAGCCAGCTTGCAAAAATACTAAGATACTGCAACTTCTGCACATTGGTCGGTATCTCATTGGCAATGTTATGGTTGATGATGGGGAAGAATGGTGGCTAGTTCTCCATCGGCACACTAGTTGCACCAAGCAAAATTTGGGGGAAATGCCAATGATCACACATCAGTATTCGGTCTAAACAAAATGACAACTCAAACACCACTGACAGTCTGAATAGGTAGCAAAATAGGTGCAGGGATTTACAATTTTACACTGGCACAAGTATTTGGGATTTGTATGGGCATAAGTAATAGAAGCAAAAGTAAACATTATTTGGGATTTTGGTAATGTAAGACAGCAAAACTACATTTGAGATCTGAACTTTGCTTCAAGCAGATTAACGCTTGAAAATTAAAGGGGGGATATGGTAAAAAGAGTCGAGGAAAATAGCACCAGATGACTCACTCATGATGGCGTGCAAAAAAAAGTACAATAATATAGATGACTCACTAGTGATGAGCGCAGAGGAAAGGTTAATGCAACGGAAGCCAACAACATCCTAGTAATACCAAGGTCTATTACCTAAACAATATTTTCTCCAGCTAGAAGCTCAACCTTTAGGGGCACCATACGACTGCTCTTATCATCTCAAATCCAAGCCTCCCGTGCTCTCCTCTCCCCCAAGCATTACACTTAGAGAGACCAAAACAGCAACAAATCCTTTTAGTCCTAAGAAAGGGTGCAGGTCAAGTAGAAAATGATGAGTACCAAAAAAGAATATTTTACAATGCATCGAGATTGGATCAGGTCGATTTGTGCAACTCATGGGACCTGCTCAGCTGTGCTTTTGAAGTAGCTACAACAGTTGCTGCTGCTTATTTTCTACTACAAAGAATAGTAGTTGTACGCAGGCTTGCTGCAGCAGCAGCCGCAACACTTGCTGCAGCAAGCAGTTTCGATAAGTCTGACATAAACATAGCAGAGGCACCTAAATGCATATATGCTTTGCCCAGTACAGCATATATGTTTGTCACATGATCCATCTTTCTAAATAAACAACCACAAGCCCTCGGTATCATCTATGTAAGGAAAACCTTGGAAACAATCCTAGTTAATTTCAAGTCTCAACATACACCCTCATCATGCTCCCCATCACTATCTACCCCTATGCAATACAATATCTAACCTGTAGTGCCTTATGTTTCTCTTCTTGCTATTTATTGTGATCAGTGCCAGTCTTACTACGTTAAAATACATGTTTCCATGATATTAATATTCGTTTTTTAGAAAATGCAGAATAAGGTACAGATGGATCTGAATCAACAGAACTCAAGCCAAAGTCAGTTTGTAGCCCTTTTTTTTGGGTACAACTGCTGACTCTGTATTCGGTTCAGATGTGCTCAACATGGTCAACAAACTCCTCTAGGTTACTTTCATCGTATAATATGTATATTTTTTGTGCTCCCTAATCTGGACATCTTTAAAGCATGCCGAATAAATAGCGAGCAAATGAATGTATTTGCAGCCCAACATAATATGATAACAATTTTCATGAAGCTAATGTCCTAAGCACGAAAGTGTCGAGTATCAGTATCAGGATACCCGGAAGAAGGAAGCTAATGGCCGTGAACGCTAACTCCATCAGATGGTCAAGAGCGTATCTTGGTTTCACCCGGCCCCGAGGGCATGGGCTCCGTCTCGCCCGACCTCAAGGACATGGGACCTGGGTCACCCGACCCCAAGGGCGCGGGCTTCGTCTCGCCCGACCCCTCGGGCGAGAGCCCCGTCATGTCTAACCCCGAGGGCGCGGACACCGCCTTGCCCGATCCCGAGAGCGCGGGCTGGCTCCGCCTCGCCCAACCCCGAAGGCGCGGGCTTCGCCTCGCTCGACCCCTCGGGCGAGGGGTCCGCCTCGCCCGACCCCGAGGGCGCGGGTTCCGCCTCGCCCGACGAAGGTCCGTATCGCCCCCAACCAATACGGGTCTAAAAGTACGAGTCCAGGGTCAAACTTCTAACGCCAGAAGGGGAGCAGGCGCGTCTTGGCGTGACCCGCAGCCACGACGGGCCACGTCTAAGGACGGACGTCGCCAACAGCATCGGGCGTGGCGACGTTGTGCTACCTACTTCCCGTATGGCCTCCAGCGGAGGCTTCAGCTAGCCATACCGTCCGCTGGGACGGAATGGAGCGCCACGACAAGCTGACGACGCCCGCGTACGGCGCCCGTGACGAATAGGGCCGCAACGTGGAGCCGTCCCCGTCGTCATCTACAGGGCCGGTGGGACCCACGCAAAGGACATGGAAGACGTCGCAATCCCAGAAGCCTTCCTCTCCTCGTGTCTCTCTCTCTGATGTAACCTGCATCTTCCCCTTCATCTATAAAAGGAGAATCGAGCCTACGGTGGAGGGGGGGGGCATTCCCACACATCTAACACGTCTGAGCGGCTGAAGACTTAGGCGCTC